CTTGTCTATGTCGGATATGAGGATGAGGAACAAGATGGGAGCTAGTACTGTGCCTTGTGGAACAGAGCTTTTCACCGTAGCTGCCTCGGACTTTACTCTGTTGACGACTACTCTCTGTGTTTGTTAGTGAGGAAATTATAGATCCATCGACCGACTTTTCCTGTTATTCCTTTAGTGCGCATTTTGTTCGCTATTACGCCATGGTCACACTTGTCGAAGGCTTTTGCAAAGTCTGTATATATTACATCTGCATTCTTTTTGTCTTCTAGTGCATTTAGGACCTTGTCGTAGTGATCCAGTAGTTGAGACAGACAGGAGCGACCTGTTCTAAACCCATGTTGCCCTGGGTTGTGTAACTGATGGGTTTCTAGATGGGTGGTGATCTTGCTTCTTAGGACCCTTTCAAAGATTTTTATGATATGGGATGTTAGTGCTATTGGTCTGTAGTTCTTTGCTGTTGCTTTACTGCCCCCTTTGTGGAGTGGGGCTATGTCTGTTGTTTTTAGTAACTGAGGGACGACCCCCGTGCCCCCCTTAGCCATTGATATAAATAGGTATTCTTCTTTACCCAAATTAATCAATGTAACTAAGTTGGTGTTTAAATTTCTAAACAAGATGAATATATCGTATAAGTTTTCACATCCTCTTGAATATTGGATAAAGAGGGTACAGGAGGAAATCTATGGAAATGAGATTAAATTGATGATGGATAGAAAAATTGTGAAAGGTTCTGTAATAGAGAAATTGGGGCTGTATTTAGAGAACAATGTAATTAGGTGCAGAGGTAGGTTACAAAATGCTGAATTGGATGATTATGCTAAACACCCTATCTTACTGCCCAAAACTCATCATCTAACAAATTTGATTGTTCTAAATGCCCATAAAAATGTAATGCATGGTGGGGTACAAGATACCTTAAATTGTATTAGGGAAACTTTCTGTATTCCACAAGGACGGCAAAGTGTAAAAAGGGTGATTAAATCTTGTGTAATATGTCGCCGTGTGGATGCCAGATCCTATATGTATCCAGGTCCTCCACCATTGCGAAATGAGCAATTTGAGTCATTTAGCAACGAACTCCGCCTGGCCGCAGTGTGGAAAATACTCTATATATTTTCCAGAAATACAGTAGTTATATATAAATAGATGGCCATACTGTATTTAATAATATGTATGTCATAAAAAATTGGAAATTTTCTGCACCTGCGCAGAAGGACAGTCGCCATTGTTAATTTGAATTGGATACAACGTTAGTGCAATGGGAAGGAATTTTCGTGCTCTAGAGGTTAAAATTGGGCTGACACCTCTCAAATAGGAGGCAAAATTGTTGGATGTGTATTCCTGCATAACTTGAGATATCAGGCGACAGGACAGGACAACTCCAGGAACCTCAGATAAGTCTGTTATGTTATAACTCTGGCCAGTTGTTATTTTCATGTATAGACAGTGAGGTTTTCTGAGTATGATACAACTTAATCTCCAGTTAAATTGGTGAGTGATATTAAGATATTTTCCTTCTGTTACGTAAATGTGTGTATATACTATAATCCTTTATAAATTTTGATATACAGTCCACAAATTTATATATTTACCAGCATTCCTGGTGATGTATATTTCATCTAATTAATAGGTCCAGAGCAACTTGTGGATATGACAGTGGTAGGTATCGAAGGGGGACATTTTTTGCGTCCTAGGTGTCCCAAATTCCTACTTGTCTAACTGATAAATAATAATTATCTATGTTCATTTACTGTTATGTATAAAATGATATATTCAGATAAATGCAATTTTCCACAACTGGTGTGCAGGGACTGGGGTACAGGGACTAGGGTGGAGGGACTGGGGTCCAGGGACTGGGGTCCAGGGACTGCGGTGCAGGGACTGGGGTGCAGGGACTGGTGTGCAGTGACTGGTGTGCAGGGACTGGGGTCCAGGGACTGGGGTCCAGGGATTGGGGTGGAAGGACTGGTGTGGAGGGACTGGTGTGGAGGGACTGGGGTGCAGGGACTGGGGTGCAGGGACTTGTGTGCAGGGACTGGGGTGCAGGGACTGGAGTGCAAGGACTGGGGTGGAGGGACTGGGGTGGAGGGACTGGGGTGGAGGGACTGGGGTGGAGGGACTGGGGTGCATGGACTGGGGTGCAGGGACTGGGGTGCAGGGACTGGTGTGCAGGGACTGGGTCCAGGGGCGGGTGTGCAGGGACTGGGGTCCAGGGACTGGTGTGCAGGGACTGAGGTGCAGGGACTGGGATGCAGGGACTGGGGTGCAGGGACTGGGGTCCAGGGATTGGGGTGGTAGGACTGGTGTGGAGGGACTGGTGTGGAGGGACTGGGGTGCAGGGACTGGGGTGCAGGGACTGGTGTGCAGGGACTGGGGTGCAGGGACTGGGAGTGCAAGGACTGGGGTGGAGGGACTGGGGTGGAGGGACTGGGGTGGAGGGACTGGGGTGGAGGGACTGGGGTCCAGGGACTGGGGTGGAGGGACTGGGGTGCAGGGACTGGGGTCCAGGGACTGGGGTGGAGGAACTGGGGTGCAGGGACTGGGGTGCAGGGACTGGTGTGGAGGGACTGGGGTGCAGGGACTGGGGTGCAGGGACTGGTGTGCAGGGACTGGGATGCAGGGACTGGGGTGCAAGGACTGGGGTGGAGGGACTTCGGTGGAGGGACTGGGGTGGAGGGACTGGGGTGGAGGGACTGGGGTGGAGGAACTGGGGTGCAAGGACTGGGGTGCAGGGACTGGGGTGCAGGGACTGGGGTACAGGGACTGGTGTGCAGTGGCTGGTGTGCAGGGACTGGGGTCCAGGGACTTGGGTGCAGGGACTGGGTTGCAGGGACTGGGGTTCCACTGGGGTGGAGGGACTGGGGTGGAGGGACTGGGGTGGAGGGACTGGGGTGGAGGGACTGGGGTGGAGGGGCAGGGGTGAGGGACTGGGTGAGGGACTGGGGTGAGGGACTAGGGTAGAAGGACTGGGGTGTAGGGACTGGGGTGCAGGGACTGGGGTGCAGAGACTGGGGTGCAGGGACTGGGGGGTGGGTGCAGGGACTGGGGTGCAGGGACTGGGTGCAGGACTGGGGTGCAGGGACTGGGGTGCAGGGACTGGGGTGCAGGGACTGGGGTGCAGGACTGGTGTGCAGGGACTGGTGGTGACGAGGGACTCAATGGGGTGCAGACTGGGTGAGACTGGGGTGAGGGACTGGGGTGGAGGACTGGGGTGAGGGCTGGGTGTGAGGGACTGGGGTGCAGGGACTGGGGGTGGAGGGACTGGGGTGCAGGACTGGGTGCAGAACTGGGGTGAGGACGGGGTGAGAGACTGGGGTGCAGGGACTGGGGTGCAGGGACTGGGGTGCAGGGACTGGGGTCAGGGACTGGTAGGACGGGTGCAGAACTGGTGGGGATGGGTGAGGGACTGGGGGCAGGGACTGGGGTGCAGAGACTGGGGTGCAGGGACGGGGTGCAGGACTGGGGTGCAGGACTGGGTGCAGAGGGGCTGGGTCGAGGGGACTGGGGTGCAGGGACTGGGTGCAGGACTGGTGGGACTGGGTGCAGGGACTGGGTGCAGGGAACTGGGGTGGCAGGGACTGGGGAGATGGGGTGAGGACTGGGGGTGCAGGGACTGGGGTGCAGGACTGGGTGCAGGGACTGGGTGCAGGGACTGGGGTGCAGGGACTGGGGTGCAGGGACTGGGTGAGGGACTGGGTGCAGGACTGGGGTGCAGGACTGGGTGGAGGACTGGGTGCAGGACTGGGGTGCAGGGACTGGGGTGCAGGGACTGGGGGTGCCAGGGACTGGGGTGCAGGGACTGGGGTGCAGGGACTGGGGTGCAGGGACTGGGGGAGGGACTGGGGTGGAGGAACTGGGGTGGAGGGACTGGGGTGCGCAGGGACTGGGTGGAGGGACTGGGGTGCAGGACTGGGGTGAGGGACTGGGGTGCAGGGACTGGGGTGCAGGGACTGGGGTGGAGGGACTGGGGTGGAGGGACTGGGGTGGAGGGACTGGGGTGGAGGGACTGGGGTGGAGGGACTGGGGTGCAGGGACTGGGGTGCAGGGACTGGGGTGCAGGGACTGGGGTTCAGGGACTGGGGTGCAGGGACTGGAGTGGAGTGACTGGGGTGGAGGGACTGGGGTGGAGGGACTGGGGTGGAGGGACTGGGGTGGAGGGACTGGTGTGCAGTGACTGGTGTGCAGTGACTGGTGTGCAGGGACTGGGGTGCAGGACTGGGGTGCAGGGACTGGGGTGCAGGGACTGGGGTGAGGGACTGGGGTGGAGGGACTAGGATGGAGGGACTGGGGTCCCGGCACTGGGGTGCTGGGACTTGGGTTGCAGGGACTGGGGTGCTGTGTGGGGTGCAGGGTCTTGGATGTGGGGACTTGGGTGCAGGGTGGGGTCCTGGGACTTGGGTCCAGGGACTGGGGTACAGGGACTGGGGTCCTTGTTTAATGATAGCTGAGCAAGTTACATTAGCAGTGAACTATTTACAAGTTTACGAAATATAATCTGGTTACAACCATAACGAGTTGTTAATATATTTTTAACAGTGTACAGTGTCATATAGGTCAGGGTAGCTGCCGCGACCTGGAAAGATAACCTGGGTGTCAGAATACAGTTAGGATAGTGTATGCATTAAAAAACTGTAATTAGAGCTAAGATATGAAGGTATTACATGGTCGGAATCTTTATCGAACAATTAATTGTAACAAAATTCATTAATAATGTGCTGCATAATGGTTTTAGAGAAATTACACTAGGCAGGCCCTAGACACTGCCAACAATAGGTACAAATATATCTGTTGAAACCCACTCTAAAGCTACCTAAATTCTTAGCTTCACATCATCTTGAACTTTGACTGGTTTATTTTCAATAAAACAGTTATAGTGTAGTTATTTGATCACGACCCTTATATAATTATTTACTAATATTAGAGACGCTTTTGATACGTCTTCTGAGAGTGAACACCTGTTGGAGGAGAGTATAATAGAGAGTTTCTGATTGGTTGTAGTGTAGTGATCGACCAATGAGAAGCAGCGTAGCAGACGGCGTCGTGCAGGGTGGGAGGTTCGCCCCACCTGAGTTCCTCTCTACATGGAACTTCTCAAAAACTTCTCCAAGATATGGTGTTTCAGGCGAGTTGATGCCGTTGTGGTTGTGGAGGAGAGCAGAGAGTCCGGGCGGCCAGCAGGAGGGCTGGAAACAACAGTTATGGTGCCTGGGGTGATCATAGTAACATGAAATAAACTGACCTCCAAGTTCCTCGTATGTCAAAAACTGAATTCAGATGAGAGGAATCTGATCAACTGTGTTGACAGTGAAGCAGAGTTGTGATGATGATGATGAAGGTCTTGGTGTGTAGACCAAGCTATAACCATTGTGTAAACCTACCTACATGTCCAGGAAAATAAGGTTAGAGTAGCTACAAGGGTGATTATTAGGCTTTAAAACTTCTTCATTTTTTGTAGCTGGAGACATGTTTATATAGGTTGAAATCATCAGTATATGTATGTTTTTGTATACTGTATGCTCCTCAAGGAAGGTTCCTTGACGTTGGTGAAGGGCTCTTGATCTAGGGAGTTGGATCTGTGCTCCAGTTCCCTGAATTAAGCCTGAATACCTTCACTTTCCCCCACAAGTGCTGTATAATCCTACGGGTTTAGCGCTACCCTTCATTATAATATATACTGTATAAAGTAAATACATATGATTAAATCATATATAAACTTGTGTAGATATACCATGAATCTCATTGGAAGACAGTAAGACTTGGATTATACTCAAAGTCATCACTTCTCTGTTGTATGGCTGTCGTGTTTAAATTAAGTATGAGTTAATCATACGTATGTATACATATATACATACACATACATAAGTTTATAAGTAGAAAAAATCAGCGACTTTCCATTGAGGTCGTTTTAATATTTTATTTTAAGAGTAGCTGTAAGACAGTTGGATCTGTGCTCAAGTTTCCCGAATTAAGCCTGAATGCCTTCCACATCCCCCCCCAGGTGCTGTATAATCCTCCGGGTTTAGCGCTTCCCCCTTGATTATATTAACAATAATAATAATGTAAGACAGTAGAAATCAATCATGATTATAACTTAAAAGCTAAAACAGCAAAGTAACTCTGTGGAAATTAGTTAAAATGAAAGGTTGATCAGACCCAGATCCACCAGGAGGTCTGGTTACAGACCGGGCCGTGGGAGCGTAGATCCTTGAAACCTGGTCTGTAACCAGACCTGGTGGATCAGGGTCTGATCAACCTTTGCAATGCAAAGGGAGCCTCTATTATGCCTAGGCATTATTGGCCAACTTAACATTATTGGCTTACAGACTACTTAACACTAAGGATTATATCGTAGTTGTACAGTAGGATAGTAATTATTTCATAGTTGTGAAGTAGATTATTAATTATAAATGAATCAAAATTTGTATAAGACAAAAGTTATATTCATATATTCGAAAATGCTTTTTTGTGAAAACAATGATTCAGTTATATTCCTGTCAACAATAGATAAAAGGTTCATAGTGTTTGTTGAAGTTATGATGTGGGAATACATAAGTGAGTATGTGTGTACTGAATATTTAGCGTTTAGTCTAGGGTGATTAAGTGGCTTTTGAGAAGAGTCTTAAATTGATTTTCAGACCGGGTTACTTTAATATCTTCTGGTAATGAATTCCATATTTTAGGGCCCTTTATGTGCATAGAGTTTTTACAGTGTGATACGGACACGAGGTATATCAAAAAGTGATCTGCGTCTTGTGTTGTGGTCATGTGTCCTGTTTAGGTTGGTGAGGAGAAGTTTGAGTGGAGGGTTTATATTTGCGTGTATTGTTCTGTGTATGTAGTAGGCACATGAATAAATGTGGATGTTGTTAATGGTGAGCAGATTCAGACTTGAAAATTGGTGGAGTATGCTAGCAGGAGTGGGAATTTGTTATTCTTACTGCTGCCTTTTGCTGGGTTATTAGGGGTTTTAGGTGATTGGATGTTGTTGATCCCGATGCACAAATTCCATATGTAAGAAAAGGGTATATGAGTGAATGGTACAGTGCCAGGAAAGCTGATTGTGGAACGTAGTACCTTATCTTTGATAGTATGTCTACAGTCTTGGAAATTTTCTTGGTGATTTGTTGTATGTGTGTCTGGAACTTTAGGCTACTGTCAAGGTGGATACCTAGGAATTTTCCCTCTGTGAGTCTTGTGACTGATGATCTGTTTAGCGTTATGTTACATTTGCAGCTTTGTTTCCAAACTGAATGAAATAGGTTTTATCAGTGTTCAGGGTAAATTTGTTAGTCATCATCCAGGCAGATATTTTCTGTAATTTGGCATTGACTGTGTTTGCTAGTATGACTGCGTTTGGGTGGGAAAATACATACGTAGTGTCATCTGCAAATAATATGGGTTTGAGTAGCTGTGATGCATTCGGTAGATCATTGATGTAGATGAGAAAGAGGAGTGATCCAAGGACACTTTCTTGTGGGACTCCTACTGTGATTGGTTGGGTGGAAGAGTTTGCATCATTTGCATACACATATTGAGTTCTGTTATTAAGGTATGATTTTAGGTAGTTGAGGGAGTGGCCTCTCATACCATAGTGCGTTAATTTGGAGTAGAGCAGTTCATGGTCGACTGTATCGAAAGCTTTACATAAATCAATGAAAATGCCCAGCGGGAGTTCTTTCTTTTCAAGTGTGGTATATATTAGTTCTAGCATGTGTATGATAGCATCATTTGTGCTTTTATTATTCCTGAATTCAAACTGACAAGGGTTTAATATGTTGTATGAGACGAGGTAGGAATAGATCCGTCTATGAATTAATTTTTCAAAGATTTTAGAGAGCAGTGGTAAGTTAGATATTGGTCTATAGTTATTCAAGTCAGCTTGGTCACCTCCTTTATGGATCGGAGTGACCCTCGCTATTTTGAGGATTGTTGGGAGGGTAGATGATTCAATGGATTTGTTAAAGAGCGTTGCAATAATTGGTGACAATACTTGAGAAGCTTTTTTGTACATAAAAGCAGGCAAGTTGTTTAAGTCTCCTGCCTTGTTTTTAAGGGTGTTTATGATGAGTGTAACTTCTATGGGTTGGTTGGAGCTAGGAATAGCGTATTTGGTAGGTACCTGTGAGGTAGTCTGATGGACGGGTGTTTGCGCTTGGTATTTTGTTCGCTAGATTTTTTTCCTATAGTGGAGAAGAAAACATTGAGTCTGTTTGCTGTTTCAGTTGGAGTGAGTAGGGGTTCATCTGATTTTGTTAGTTTGATTGTTTTGTTTTTGGATAACTTTTTAGTTCCAAGAATTTCAGATAGAGTTTTCCAGGTTTTTTTTCATATCACCTTTGATGTTATTTAATCTATTTTCATAATACAATTTTTAGACCACCTTATCAGGCTGGTAAGTGCTGATGAGTAACGTTTAGACTGTTCTCTGGTTATTTGACCCATTCTATACTGTTTTTCATATTTGTGCTTTGTGTTAATGGATTTGAGGATGCTTGGTGTAAGCCAGGGATTATTCAGTCTCTTTGCTGTGATCTGTTTATTTTTTTGGGGGCAATGTTTGTTATAGAGGCATTGGGCTTTTTTTTTTAGAAAATTATTTATACATTCATTCATATCTCTATATGTTTCGAGCTCATTTTGCCAGTCGATGTTATTCATAGCTGCTGTCTTGTTATGTAGTCTGAAGGTTACTTTAGTAATGTTGTGTGGCAGTTTGCCCAGATTAGTTATGAGAAAGGCTGGGTAGTGGTCTGTAGTGTTGTCTGATTATGCTTGATTTTAAAGGGGATATGGTGTTTGTCCAGATGTGGTCTGTTAAGGAGATGCTTGTCTCGGTGATTCTTGTAGGTTTAGATATTGCTGGTAGCAACAGGCAGTTACTCATTGTGTTTGTGAATTTGGTTACTTGTGGGTCCTGGTCGTGTAGTATGTTTATGTTGAAATCTCCTGTTAGTAGTAGGTGGTCTTTATTCATGTGTGCATCAGTAATCATGTTACCTAGTTTTTCACTAAAGTGGTAAATGTTTGACTGTGGTACTCTGTAGATGTTTATAATTGTGAAGGGTTTTTGTAGGTCTTTTGATTTAAATTTGGCTATGATATATTCTTCATGTTGGTCCCTTGTGCAAGATTTATTGATACATTTGAGTTGATTTGAGTAGTATATAGCTGTTCCTCCCCCTTGCTGGTCTGTTCTACAGTTGTGTATGGCCATGTAGCCAGGAATGGTATAGACATCTGTAATATCAAGCTTAAGCCAGGTTTCTGTGAGTGTGATAATTGATATATTGGAATGAAGGGAACTGAGTAATGCTGTGAGGTCATCATAATGTTTGCTCAAGGATCTGACATTGTAGTTAAAGATGGTTATGTTATTGTTTGCACAGAGTAATGTCTTTGCTTGGTCTGCTGTGTAGTAATTACAGTTGCTGTTTGATTCGTGTAATTCATTTTGTAAAAAGTTTACATCAGGATCTACGCCTGTAATCATAGGATGAGAGTAAATTTACAAACTAGATTTTCTGATTAAAATAATATAAGATTTATATTTAATCTACAACTAGACTTATGAATAAGACTCCGTGATTATTCTAAAACTTGTAAAAAATTTAAAAGAAAAAGGGATTATTACAGAATAGATAATTCATTTATACAGTAAAAAATTTAAAAGAAAAAGGGATTATTACAGAATAGATACGTAATTCATTTATACACTTAAGCATCTAATAGCACCTTAATTATTTTAACAAATGTGAGTTTATGAACTACGGTAGATATTTACAGCTAAAATAAAGGAGCTAATGAATATAATAATAATAAAAGAATGTATTAAAAGCAAAATCAGTAGCACCTGGAGTATTTTAATAAATGTGACTATATGGACAAGAGGGGAAAAAAAAAATATTAAATCTCCTGAAAGTAGCCCTTTAATTGTTGTTAGAACTAGGAGTATAGCAATTACTGAATAAAGGGCAGTACAATGTGTTGGTATATAGAGAATTATTTCAGGAGAAATGTAGAAAGGGACTAAAGTAGAGGTAAAACAATCTTTAAATAGATTGACACTATGATATGAAATTAATCTGAGAGTAAGATTTGCCTTATAGCATAAAGTTTGAACAA